TAGAATATGTAACCCTATCGTATATAGAACGTGTTTATATAGAATATCCCGTAAGGTTAAGTATTGAAGAGTTCTGCCTACGCACCTATACGCGCGGGGTTGTTGAGAACATAAGGCCTTCGCGCGCCCATACGCACTGTCGTGGGTTTATAGCAAAGTGCCTAGGCATTCATATCCAGTGAATGCGTCAATATAGGTCTCCATTTTATTGAGACAGTTTTTTTATATTCCATTGGGGTTTACTATTTTTTAATTTTTATCAACCAACTTCTCGTATAATACAATAAAAACTTGAATGTGAACGTAAAATTAAGTAAAGATTTAATTGACACTTTAAATAATAAAAAGCATACCAAATTCCTGTTACACACTTTGACTATTTAGAGTTGAAGGATCATACTTAGGGTTAAGCCCGCCGCACACGAGCGCACGTGTCGCGCGTACTTGTTATTCGTGACAAGTTGGATCGAAAAATTTCCTCTTATTAACTATGATTGTAGTTTAAATTTTCCAAATATTTAGAAGCGGCATAATATTTTGAGTTATTTGGTCTACATATCTTTCGAAATTTGCTCTCATTAACCGTTTTATTAATTTTCAAAAACTAAAAAATCGCGTCGCGTTGTCGAATTGCGTCCGGTGTGTATGGACTTTTAGGGTTACAACGTACGTACGGATCGGTTGGCATCTGTACACATAGGCCTGTAGGCGCGTAAACGCGTATGTGCTTGGCACGTAGGTCTGTAGGCGCGTAAGTATGCACAACAGGCCTGTAGGCCCATAGGCATGTAGGCCCGTGGAAATATAGGCACATAGGCATAGGCCTGTAGGCATGTAGGTACTTACAGGCCCGCATAACTGGCACGTATCGTGTAGGCGTATGGACCTTCTTTAAAACGGGTTTCTGTTGGCGGGGAACAAGGGCGAATTTTGTTTTGACCAATCAGAGCATTTGTTTACCTTTTGACGCTAAGCCAATCAGAACGCGTACATTGTTACTACTTCCGGTTTAGACGCGTATTTCAATACGAAAATTACGGTTGTAAATAAAGCCTTGGAGAGTCGGAGGGGCCTGTTTTTTAAATTTTTTGGACTTATTTCAATGAAATCCTATAAAATATAAAATGTTCGAAAAATTTGGCGCTGGAATTTGCGTTTCATCGCTTAGTTTTGAAATTATCCGCATTCAAAAAACGGCGTATGCAAGGTCACTCTCGAAAAGGTCAAAACGTGTTATGATTCTAAAGGAAGTGAAGCGAAGGCATATATCCGGAAATATTTAAGAGTGGCTCGGGCATTTGAGAAAGAAGGCATTTTCACTGCGATTTTGGAGTTACATTTTCTGGCAATCGGTCACTACACGACTATAATTTTGCCAGCAGTGGCCATATAGCACTAAAACAAAGTGGAAGAATCGCCGTTTATGACTGCCTCGTTGGCCCAGGCTTTCTGCTTTTGACTTGAGAGGATATTTGCAAATCCGATTATCGGGCAAGCACTGATGTCTGGTAAGTTACACTCGAGGTGGAAAGAGTGCCCACAGCCTCGAAAAATGTGACAGAAAGGACTATCACGACTGCATTCGATCACTGATTTTTAGATCAATGCATTCGATTTTATCACATTTGCTGTGTCAATGGAAATTGAAGGTATATACCTTATATATTTCACATATAAACATATATATATTTCATGCTTATGATTCATATACATTTTATAGGCTGTCAGACTGTCTGTATATTAAAAGATTCATATTTTTTGGAGCACCAGATTGGCCCAGATTGTCAGTCAACAGAAGGTTACTTATTTGCTTTAGCACGCAGTTTTCCCTATATGTTTTATATATTTGTATAAAAAACAGTAAGACCACTGTATATTTTTATGACCATGAAATCAACAACTATTTACTAAAGCTTATAAAACTCTTGATAGTGATGCAGTATAATTATACTGAACTTACTTTGTTGGATTAGGAGGTCTTTCCACTGATGAAAAGCCCAATGGAACAACTCGGTTGGTGGTGACAACAGTGGCATAGCCACAATGGGGGCGGGACTGAGGGGACGAGTCCCCTCCCCCACTCTCCTTCAGAACTAACTTCGAGATATGTTTAAATCCGTTGAGAAACTTGGGGGGGGGGACACTTCTCCGATTTCGTGGCCAGCTTATTGTTCACAATCTAATAACTGAAGACACAGGCATTTTTGACTACCGAATTATAATGTTATAATCTTCTGCATTTTGTAAAATCTCGCCCCAAAATACACAAATTGGCATTTCAGAGGCTCTGAATTTCAAAATTTTCCGGACCCCCTACAGTGTTCGTGCCTTTGCGGCTCAAGTCGTCCCCCTACTTTGTAAACCCTGGCTACGCCACTGGGTGACAACCATGCATCCAAACAATTTTGCTAGTTTCCACTTTCTTGTCTACTTGTTTTGCCCTTGGTGCTATTTTTCATTATAAAGCAAAAAAATAGAGACAAAATGAAATACAATTTATCAATCCTTTGCCTTTATGCTAATTGCTCAGCACTGTCAGCACTTGGCATTAAGGGCTGATTACATGGAGCACTTTCAACCCTGGGGTTGAACTCAGCCCTGTTAACTGGGTTGAATTTTTTTGCAATTACATGGACGATTTCAACCCTGTGGTTGAAATGCTGTACATTTCCAGGCATTGATTTCTGGAAGTAAAAAAGCAGCTCTGTAGGCTCCATGTTGTTTTCTTGTAATAAATAGTACTACCACACATGCTTGAATAACTCATGAATAATTTCAGAATGCGGATAATTTCAAAACTAAGCGATGAAACGCAAATCCCAGCGGCAAATTTTTCGAAAATTTTATATTTTATAGGATTTCATTGAAATAAGTGCAAAAAATTAAGAAAACAGGCCCCCCAAGGCTTTATTTACAACCCTAATTTTCGTGTTGAAATAGGTGTCTAAACCGGAAGTAGTAACAATGTACGCGTTCTGATTGGCTAAGCGTCAAAAGGTAAACAAATGCTGTGATTGGTCAAAAACGAAATTCACCCTTGTTTTGGCGGGGTATTCTATAGTTATTACCAGCGTTAAAATATCAAACGTAATTGTGTAAGTTTAAAAATATTATTAAACTCTATTTATATTATAAAACAGTAGAACTATTTTTAGAACATTGATCTTTTTTTGTGTTTTGCAGGTTTCATGATTTGGACAACATTGAAAATGTATTTTTTAAGGACAATTTCGGTATAGATTCTATTCAGAACCAGTATCGCTTTTATTAAAAACCAATTGGAATGGGATCTTACAAAACGTTTGTCTCCTTTACAAAGCTTTATTGAAAAAAACAATTCGCACTGCCCGAAAAGGTTGGGACGAGCCAAAATGCCCTTATAAATCCCCCATTTTGTGAAGACAACATTTTTTACTGAGAAAAGATAGTAGAACGCATTCTATATCTATTATTTCTATCACATATACACTTGATAATTTCCCAGCGGACAGAAACTACTGTACCTGAATTGCTCTCTGCATTAGTCTTTGCATAATTGATGATGATAATTAGAACATGAAAAGAGCAAAGATGTTCGATGAGTTATGGCCATGTTAACAATATTCTTTACTCACCAGTTGGTAGTCGTGTTGGTTTTGATGTTGGTGGAGGATTGTATGATTCTATAAAATTAGAAAAGATGTAATTAAATTGATTTGTGTACTTTATTTAACAATTAGTCGGCGAAGGCGACGGAGATGATTGCAAGCTAGCCTGCGTAGCATGCGTTTAGTGCTGGCGGGAGAAGAGAGGGCGTCGTTTGAGGAAACGCCTGCCCAAATGGCTATGACAAATTCAGAGTGACAAATTTGTTTTCGCCCATTAAGGATGATTGACGTTTTGTAATTAGCACCTTCACCCATTATCCTATCATAGTCGAGATTTATATTTAGCATCATGCATGCCTTTTGCTCGGCAACTAGGGAGATTTGCAGAGATTTTATGTGGGTAGGGATAAAACGCTGAAACTGAATCGCGGAAGCGGAAACTGAAATGGGGATAAAACGCTGAAATGGGGATAAAACGCTGAAATGGGGGTAAAACGCTGAAATGGGGGTAAAACGCTGAAATGGGGTAAAACGCTGAAATGGGGTAAAACGCTGAAATGGGGGTAAAACGCTGAAATGGGGATAAAACGCTGAAATGGGGGTAAAACGCTGAAATGGGGATAAAAGCTGAAATGAGGATAAAACTCTGAAATGGGGATAAAACGCTGAAATGGGGATAAAACGCTGAAATGGGGGTAGAACGCTGAAATGGGGGTAAAACGCTGAAATGGGCAAATTTAATCGAATTCGTTGTTTGCTAGACCATTGCGAACACATGTAATTTGCCTATCAAACTGAATAAATATAAGAAAGATGTTCCCGGTAAAATGACAACCACAAATTTTCGAAGAACGAATATAATTTGACAGTTTATCTTTTATTAATAATGTAATCTACAATTTTCTCCATATAACTTCGAACTCAACTTTTTGTGATAGCATACTATCTTCACACTGCCATATGGCTGGTATTTTGGGTGTAAAACCGGTGTCACAGGAATTTCCCGGGAATTGTCAGGACACGTGTCTAAATCGGAAAAAACGTTTTTCTTCTCCTGCCTACACGCGTAAAAATCATGAACTTGTAGTTGCAATGTTGATAAAAACAGGTTGCAACAATAATGTGCTACGCCTATTGTTCACGAATGTTACCAATATTGTTCAGCATTGTTGCACCCCATTCGAGATGAATAATATTGTTCAATGTTGTTAACTGTAAAAAACAGGTCAGCATAATATTGTTGCAACCTGTTGTACAGGCAGTACAGTACAGTACAGTACAGTACGGTACGGTACGGTACGGTACGGTACGGTACGGTACAGTACAATACAGTACAGGCAGTACAGCAGGCTCGGCGTTTTTGGCCGTGTAGAATTGAACAAACTAACTGAACAAACTAAAAAACAAAACAATATCGACATCATGCCACGTCAAATTTGAGCACCAAACTCTCGTAAAAAGCGCACATGTTCTGGTGTTAAATAATATGGCAGCCAATTTGGTACAGTTACGCAGGCAGGGTTAAAATATGACTGCTTCATCTTGAGGCAACTCAAATTTATACATGGAAATATACATTTTGTTCTTTGAACATCAACTGTCCATCAGGAGTATTAGGGTTAGGAAAACCTCTATTCATACGTGTAATAATCGTCAAATCATACGGTGGACTTGCGATAATCCCGCCGAGTTTTAACGATTGGGAACACCCAAAACAGGTGCGAACTAAAGGAGGACAACACTGCAAAAGACTAAGAACAAATGTTCCTACTGGAGGATTGACAGCGGTAGGTAATGGGACCTGTTGGGATCCTTGTGGCGTTGCTGACGCTGACCGAGGTGCATAAACTGGCTGTTGCATTGACGTCATATAACGTAGAAAAAACTATCCTAACATAAAACTAAACCCTAATACTAACCCTTACCCAGTAACCCCAACCTAAACCCTAACCTAACCCCAACTTATTTTAAAAATTTATATAAAAACGGAAACCTTAGTTTGAAGTATACTATCTAGCAATTGCCGTTCGCAATGGTCTAGAAAAAAAACGAATTCGATTAAATTTCCCCATTTCAGCGTTTTATCACCATTTCAGCGTTTTATCACCATTTCAGCGTTTTACCCCCATTTCAGCGTTTTATCCCCATTTCAGCGTTTTACCCCCATTTCAGCGTTTTATCCCCATTTCAGCGTTTTACCCCCATTTCAGCGTTTTACCTCCATTTCAGCGTTTTACCCCCATTTCAGCGTTTTACCCCCATTTCAGTTTCCGCTTTCAGTTTCCGTTTCCGCGATTCAGTTTCAGCGTTTTATCCCTACCCATGTCAGAATTACAATTGCAAAATTTACAATGTTAACAAATATTCGACATGTATTTATTTAATTGCTGTACTACTGTCAATGTCTGGGAAAATCAGTTAAGTTTGAATCAGTAATACCACGGTCAATAGAACCACCAGAGTACGTACATAGTACACACAGATGTCTCAGTGATTCAAGTTAATTTAGCGTAAGGGATTTTTCCAATATACGCCGTGTTCTTAGGAAGTGCCCTAACGGGAGGTATAGTCAACCCCCTGAAAACATATTGAAATTTAAACGCTTATTTTCGCGAAAACAATGTAAATAAATATTTTAGGGTCTTCGTTTTCGTAGTACGAAAACAAAGATGGGTCTTCGTTTTCGTAGTGGGTCTTCGTTTTCGTAATTACGAAGACCCATCTTAGGTCTTCGGTCTTCGTTTTCGTAGGTCTTCGTTTTCGAAACCACCTTCTCATAGGGCCTGTTTATATGGAAGCCGGGCTGGCCAGCTTATCGAGACAGCCCGGTAAGCGGGATGAATTTCTCTTGTGTTTATATGATAAAATTTCATCCCGCTTGCTGAGACAATTTTGTTACATTGTATTGTTTTGACAGTTGTTAAAAATAGCTTGCGGCGGTATCTTTGAACTTTCATCCCGGCAACCGGGCAAGCCCGCTTGCGAGTGTTTATATGGAGAAATTTCCATCCCGGTAAGCGAGATCTCGCCTCTTTCAAGTGAGATCTTGGCAACCGGGCCAGCCAGCTTGTCCAAATAAACGCACAATAATTTTTACTATAAAAATAACTACTCAGCGAGATCTTGCTTATCGGGCTGTCTCACTTAGCGGCCAGCCCAGCTTCCATATAAACAGGTCCATAATTATACCTCTGAGGAATTCCAAGCTCAAACGATGACCCCGGAGGAAATAATATTGTACCCCTGAAGAAATATCCCAATATGATATAAAGTACTATGCAGCCCTAAATATGGCATTATTAGTGAATGTTTAGGAGTCAAGTTGTGTGTTTATATGCAACCTTTGAACTTTGTGAGCAAGGCTTTGGCAATACCCATGTTTCAGGGTCTGAAATTTGCGGTATCCCGATATCCACGGGATACTGAAATTTGGTTTTGGATACTAAGTTTATTTTACTTGTATCCCGATGGGATACCACATTTTTTTAAAAAACGGGATAGCAGTTAATGTTTTAGTAGTCTCCCCACATTTTTGTTCATTAAATAGTGCTGTAACACAAGTCTAGCATTCGTCTTAACGTTGTATTTATGCATGTAGTCCACTCATGGTTCAATTCGCGAGTCGCCATTTTGAATAGTGTTTCCACATTGAAACAACTGTCCAGATTTCATTGAAAAGAATCTTTTTGAAATCAAGAAAAGTCTAGCCTGCGTAGCAGGCGGTATTCGCGGGCACGTGAAGAAAAGTCAAGAAGATTGTAAGGAAATTTGAAGGTCGATAGTTAGCAAAAAAGAAATACATTTTTTTTGCTGCCGTCATGAACTAAAATACTCGTAAATAATCCATGCTTTCTTGTGATATTATGTAAAAAATATTTAATTAAAACCACCAAAACTCCTGATGCAGGCAATGGTCTTCATGATAATACAGCCAATGATGATGATAATGACGCTGTAGTTCCCATTTGAGTGCATACTGATAGCATTAAAAATCAGAAAGTTGACACTTAGACTTTAATGTATAATTAAATAACCCTGTTAACTGTTAAGAAATTGAATATTTGAACTGTATAAGTTCCTTTTAGGATTCTAGTATATTAAACATAAAATGCGATGGATGAAAATGCTTGACGTAGTTGACTAAGAGTAAGCCTTAGAGTGATGTTGGGTCTGGCCCTGTGGGATACGAAAAGCCAACTAGTTAAGTATCCAGATTTAGGATACTGGATTATCGGGAGGGATACCAAATTTTAAAACCTTGGTATCCATGTGGATACTTAAAAAAAAATCAAATTTCAGACCCTGATGTTTAGAATGAAGTTCTTTCCTATGATTTCAAGTATCTCAAGTATTATAAACACCATCACTTTATAACCAATTAGAATAATTATTTATCTTAAATGAAAGTCTAAACTTTATATCCAACAATGTCCAGTATTTGGCCGGTATCTTTCAACTATCCAACATAGCTGAAATCTGGCTAGATAGCAAAAAGTTCTATCTAGTGCAGCCCTAGAAATGACCAGGGTGCCAGGTGGCCAATAGACCTTATGCATAATGATGTCACAAGGGTTATTTTTTATTTTATTTTACAATCTTTGTCACATGACCGGTTTAACCCACAGAGCTAGTTGCTCCTTTACGGGTAACCTGCATCATGGGTTGATGCCTGTGAGGAATTTAGTCAGGCTTTCTACCCAACTCTCAAGTATTTATTCTGACACATCACCTGTGTGAATAGTGGAAACTTATGTTGTCAAGACTCCGAGTCTTTAGTCAGCAGGTTGCCAAGACTTAAAGTCTTTCAGCAGTCAGTAGAAACTGTTTTACAGTATGGGTACATGTAATATAATTAAAATTTAAATGATTAAGCTTAATATTATACTGTGAATAGTGGAAACTTATGTTGTCAAGACTTTGAGTCTTTAGTCAGCAGGTTGTCAAGATCTAGAGTCTTTCGGCAGCCAGTGGAAACTGTTTTACAATATGGATAGTATAAACATTTAATTAAATGACAAATTAAGCTTAATAGTATGCTGTGAATAGTGGAATCTTATGTTGTCAAGACTTCAAGTCTTTAGTCAGCAGGTTGTCAAGACCTAGAGTCTTTCAGCAGCCAGTGGAAACTGTTTTACAGTATGGATAGTATAATTAAACATTTAAATGATTAATTAAATAAGCTTAATAGTATACTGTGAATAGTGGAAACTTAAGTTGTCAATACTTTGAGTCTTTAGTCAGCAGGTTGTCAAGACCTAGAATCTTTTGGCAACCAGTGGAAACTGTTTCACAGTATGGATAGTATAATTAAACATTTAAATGATAAATTAATTAATTAAGCTTAATAATATGCTGTGAATAGTGGAAACTTATGTTGTCAAGACTTCAAGTCTTTAGTCAGCAGGTTGTCAAGATCTAGAGTCTTTCGGCAGCCAGTAGAAACTGTTTTACAGTATGGATAGTACAGGGTGCGATAATTCGCGTACCAACGTACCGGAGGTACGCCAAATTTATGGTCTGGTACTTCTTTGTTTTTAGGCAAGTACCACGTAGGTACGCGGAAATTTGCTATTCGCGTACTTACATTTTCCTTCTAGCAATAACTAGCAAACCTGCCAAAGTATTCAAAACCGTGAAGAACTTTAGCTGTACATGTAAA